AAGTCCAAATCAGAAACAAAGCCCCGAGTCCCTTCAGCATTAATGGGCCCCACTGGGAGCTGTTGCTGACAAAGCCTCCCCAGGGACTCGTTAAAGCAAGTAAGTGGAGGCTGTGATTACAGGGAGACAAAGGCAAAATGCAGGTGTCTGATGGTGAGGAAACCCTTAGTTTGTTTGACAGAGCAGAAAGGCCAAGCCCTGACCACAGCCCTTGGAAAGCAGAGCCCGAAATCCTGAGAAAGAAAGTTCTCCTCATAGGTCTTGATGAAAGAGGAGCTGCCATAGTCCAGGGCACAGAGGCCTTTTGTTCTCTTGGTCCTTTCAGCCTGGCCACAATCCTGTCATCTGCGCTGCAGGCTGTCCTACACTGGCCCATGCCTGCACCTCTTTCCCCTGAACTGCAGCAACCATATGATCGCTTTCCCCCAGCTCTCACCTGGCATTTCTGTACCTTCAGTCACATCTCTGCACCCGTCGCTGTCTGTTCCTTGAACACACAATGCCCTGGGCTGAGCCAGACTCCCTCTGGGTGACCTCTGGCACCACAAGTCCACCTTTCCAGAGACATTTCCCTTTCCTAACTTGGAGTCTGAACCTTCCAGGCTGCACTTTGCAGAGGTTTCCTTCTCTTCCTGCTAGCAAGAAAATCCCCATTATGCTTGAAACCACCATTACAGTAGTTGGTGGCTGCTACTATAGTGTCAATTCAGCAGGTGGAGGGAACATCCCTCAGCAAGGCCATCTAAAAGAGGCTTCTAGAGGATTGGGTGATGCCATCAGTAGAGAGAACTAAGCACCATGAGAGAGCAGTGGGAAAAGGGAATGGTCTGCATTGAGAACTCATTGGGGAGACCCACAAGGAAAAGGGGTGTCCTTGGGTTCAAGGTACCCCCTGCTCTGGGGACAGCTTCCTGCCTGTAGCACCCTCTCTGCCCGCACTCACAAGTGTCCCACAGAAGCTTTGCGCTTCCCCTGCAGCAGCGACACCTCACTGCAGGAGGTTCCTGCCTGCTCCAGGCTCAGGGATGGATCCTGCATCCTCCAGGCTCAGGGATGGATCCTGCATTCTCCAGGCTCAGGGATGGATCCTGCATCCTCCAGGCTCAGGGATGGATCCTGCATCCTCCAGGCTCAGGGATGGATCCTGCATTCTCCAGGCTCAGGATATGATCTGCATCCTCCAGCTCAGGGATGGATCCTGGGATTCCTCCAGGCTCAGGGATGGATCCTGCATTCTCCAGGCTCAGGGATGGGACCCCATTCTCCAGGCTCAGGGATGGATCCTGCATTCTCCAGGCTCAGGGATGGATCCTGCATTCTCCAGGCTCAGGGATGGATCCTGCATCCTCCAGGCTCAGGGATGGATCCTGCATCCTCCAGGCTCAGGGATGGATCCTGCGTCCTCCAGGCTCAGGGATGGATCCTGCATTCCAGGCAAGTTTGGGGAGTGCAGGAGAGGGAGATGGGAAGGTCGGCTCGTGGGGCAGGATGAGCAGTGCTCAGGCACCCCCAGCAGTGGGCAATCCCCAGGTGCCTCTCTGCATTACCTGATGCAGCTCTTGCTGAGCCCATGGGAACAAGGCTGCCTCCTGTCCAGGCTGAACCTCTCCTCTGTCGCTACCCCCCCTGCCTTTTGTCCTCCCACCAGGCACCATGGGGAGGAGCCTGGCTCTGGATCCCCCATGTCCTCCTTGCTGGTACAGGCAGCCAGTCCCCAACAGCCTTCCCTTCCTTGGGCTGGACAAGATCAGCTCCTCCAGCCTCTCCCCGCAGGCACCATGATCCAGTCTGTGCCTTTCCTGAGGGCCCACTGCTAAACCCACTCCTGCTTGCCAATAGTGTTCCTGAACTGGGGATCTGAAGCCTGGATGGAGCATTCCAGAGCATCCCTTATCTTGTTGTCCTGCCGTGCTCCTGCTCATACAGCCCACAATGCTGCTCTCCTCCCTTGCTGCCAGGGCACACGCTGCCTCCTGTCCAGCTCCTGCCCACCCAGACCTTTCCCATGGGCTGCTCCCAGCCAGGCAGCCCCAGCCTGGGCCATTGCACGAGAGTTCCCTGTAAGGAAGTGAGGCTGTCGGGACACTGAGATGGCTTGGATGGAGAAGGATGGATGGGGCTTGGAACAACCTGGTCTAATGGAAGCTGTCCCCCTCCCTCTTCATGCCATGCTTTCATGGTGGGGCAATATTGGACTTGATGCTCCTGAAGGTCTTTCCCAACCTGGTTGATTCCAGCTCCCGCTTCCCACTGTCTTGGGATGACTTGAATCCTTACGGGATGCTCTGGAGCTCTGAGGGATGAAGAAAATGGAAGCAAATGGGGGGAACCCAAAGATGGATGGGGCACCCTAAAGGGCAATGTAAGCAGACGGGGGGCACGCAAAGATGGGTGGGGGCACCCCAAAAGGCAATTGAAGCAGATGGGAGTACCCAAAGGAGGATGGGGGCACCCTCAAGGGCAATGGAAGCAGATGAGGGCACCCAAAGACAGATGAGGAGACCCCCAAAGGGCAGTGGAAGCAGATGGGGGGGCACCCAAAGGCTCAAACAGGCACATGGGAGGCCCCCAAAAGGACCAGGAAGGTGCCCAAGGGACCACAAGGATGAGGGCTGCAGGGGGCAGAAGCGGCATCCCCATGGAGCAAGGTCCCTGGTGAGGATTTATCCCACATTGATCCCCAAACCGCTGCTTTTTGCTCCTCAAAACCTCCCAAAATCCAGGGATTTGGTGGGCAAGGAGTGATGAAGGGATCGTCCTTAAACCCCAGAGCCTGGAAGCGGGATCCGGCACCAGGAGCCTCCGCGCAGGCCCGGATCCAAGGACACGGCTGCTGCCCCAGAAGCAGCTTCCCAGCCTCTGCTTTGGGCCAGAAAGAGGTGGAATGGGGCCCATGTTGTTGTTTAAAGCCAGTTGGGGGGGGGGGGGGTGTTGGATGTGCAAATGGTGCCAAATCCAGGGAATGGGGGGGGCAGAGGGGGAAGAAGAGCTTAGAAAGGGATTGGTGCAGAAGGAATGGGGTTTGTGCGGTGTTCCTGGAAGTGGGCATGGTTGGATGGGGCTTGGAGCATTCTGCTCCATGGAAAGAGTCCTTGCCCATGGCAGGGGTTGGAGTTGGATGAGCTTTAAGGTGCCTTCAACCCAACCCATCCCATGATTCCATGATTGACTCCATGATCCCACATCTCTGTGCTGCAGTGTGGATGTTCCTGAGGTAGGGATCTTAGGAAGGAGCTGGTGGCACAAGGGAGCCCCAGAGCATCCCGCAAGCAAGCATCCCATAGGAATTCACAGCATTCCATAGGGATTCAGAGCATCCCACAAGCAGAGCATCCCATAGGGGTTCAGAGCATCCCATAGGGCTCCAGAGCATCCCACAGGGATTGAGATCATCCCACAAGCAGAGCATCCCATAGGAGTTCAGATCATCCCACAAGCAGAGCATCCCACAGGTGTTCAGAGCATCCCACAGACGGATCATCCATCCTGGGTTTAGCAGTAGCAGTCATTTTTCTCCTTCTTGGTAGCTGCTGCAGTGCTGTGTTTCTGACTCTCGGCCTGGGAACAGCGCTGATAGCACCGATGTCCTTAGTTACTGCTCTAATGTTTGGTCTGCCCAAGGCCTTTGTGAGCCTCACGCTCTGCCAGGGAGGAGGGAAGCTGGGAGGAAGCAGGGACAGCACACCTGACCCAAACTGACCAGAGAGGTATTCCATACCACAGCACGTCATGCCTGGGATGTAACGGGGAGTTATCCGGAAGGGCGAGGACTGCGGCTTTGGACTGGGTATCAGTCTGTGTTTGGTAGGGCTGGGGTGGCGAGTTATCGGTCGGCGGGTGGAGAGGTGGTGTACTTTCTTCCCTTGTTATTTCCTTTATCATTGCTACTATTGCTGTAGCAGCAGTGATTTGTGTTATACCTCAGTTACTGGACTGTTCTTACCTCAACCGGGGGGAGTTGCATTCTTTTCGATTCACCTCTCCGTCCCTCTGGGAGTAGGGGGAGGGAGGAAGGGGGGGAGTGAATGAAGGAGCTGCATGGCTGGGTTTAAACCACGACAGGATCTTAATGGGATCTTAATAGTGTCCTAAAGGGATCCTAACGGGATCTTAATGGGGCCTTAATGGATCCTAATTGGATCTTTATCGGGTCCTAAAGGGGTCCTAATGTCATCCTAATGGGATATTAATGGGGTCCTAATTGGATCCTAATGGAGACTTAATGGGATCTTAATGGGGTCCTAATGGGATCTTCATGGGATGAGGGGTGAATGGGGTCCCAGTGCTAGTTAATGGAGTGAATGGGGACCCAGCCAGATGGACAAGGGTGAGCCCTGGCCCCAGTCCCTGCTCCTGGCACTGGGGACCACAGTGCTGGCGTTTGGGAGAGGTCCAAAGGGTGCTGGGATGGGTGTTGGGAGCTGGGACGGGTGCTTGGTGCTGGGATGGACACAGCCTTGAAGCTTGTGAGGTCCTAAGGGAAGATTCCAAGCCTGGAAGTGGGATGCTCCAGCTGGATGCAGGCATAAAGTGGGATGCTCCAGCTGGATGCAGGGATGGAGCAGAACCATGGAAGTTTGGGTTCTCCTTCATTATTTGGGTGTGGAGAGGAGGCTTCAGCATGGATTGGAGCTGGGGTGATGGGTCCCAACTGGAACAGGGAAGTTTAGGTTGGAGATAAGAAAGTGAGGGTGCTGGGACACTGAGATGGCTTGGATGGAGAAGGATGGATGGGGCTTGGAGCAACCTGGTCTAATGGAAGCTGTCCCCCCTCCCTCTTCATGCCATGCTTTAATGGTGGGGCAATATTGGACTTGATGCTCCTGAAGGTCTTTCCCAACCTGGTTGATTCCAGCTCCCACTTCCCACTGTTCCCTGCCCTCCATCCCTCATTCCCATCCCTCCCCATGGACCAGGAGATGGGCACGCAAAGCATCTTCTCTTTGGGAAAATAAGGCAACTTTAGTGAAGCTCAAGCCAGCTTCAAGCGATGCCGCTCCTCAAGTCTTCTTCCCTCTTAGAGCCTGCAGCAGCTCCTGCACCCGACTGATGAATTCCATCACCAGCCGGTATGGGAAGGAGCAGATGCCACTGATGCTGGAGGCCGTCGGAGCCGGCATCGTCTGCTGAATGGGACTATGGGAGACAGACTGGTGGCTCCATGTCGGGGGTGTTGCGAAGGCTCCCGCGGAGCGGAACATCCCCAGCTGGAGGAGGATCCAGTCATGGAAGTGCCGCGTCGAGGTGTAGACCCCCGGTTGCTTGGCCCTGGCACAGCCGCGGCCCCAGCTCGTCAGCCCCACAACCCAGAAGAAGTTGGCACGGGTGTCCCGGCACATGAGGGGACCGCCGCTGTCACCCTATGGAGGAGAATCAGAGAGGGGGTGAGGATGGGGATGGGTGGCCATGGCAACGCCTGAGGGGACCACTGCTGTCACCCCATGGGTGGGGGTGGAAGTGTTCTCATTCATCATTTGCGTGTGGAGAGTGACCTTCAGCATGGACTGGAGCTGTAAGACTAGGAGTGATGGGTTCCAACTGGAACAGGGGAGTTTGGGTTGGAGGTAAGGCGAAGTTGTTCACTATGAGGGTGGTGGGACACCGGGGTGGATTGGATGGAGAAGGATGGACGGGGCTTGGGGCAACCTGGTCTAATGGAAGGCATCCCTGACCCTTGCTTAGAAGTGGATGCTTTCAGCTCCTTCACAACCTAACCCATTCCATGAATCCCTGCTCACAACATGGTTTAGTGGTGGAATCTCAATGCTCTTAAAGCTCCAACCTCTATGGTCCCTGCGCAGGGATGATGGAGCAGGAGCTGGATGCGCTTTCGAAGCTGGGATAAAGGGGGATGCAGAGCAAGGCCCTGCAGATGGGAGAGGAGAAGAAAGACCCAGTGGCACATCCCTACCTGGCAGCTGTCGATGCCACCCTGGGGGTACCCAGCGCAGAGGTTGTGGCTCTTGAGGGCCCCTCGGTACCACAGGCTGCTGTTGCAGAGCTGGACATCGATGAGGCGGACCTTGGCCTCCTGCAGGGCAGATGGGGACGATGCCCCCGCTGTGGAGACACAAAGGGGGTGAGGAATGGGGGTAGAAGGGATGGATTTGGGGGTATTTGGGGCTGAGAAGCTCCATGGGAGCCATAAACACCTCCCCCATGGCCTGGGCTGCATCCCCTTTGCTGATGCTGCATCCTCAACATAAGGAGGACATGGAGGGACCTTCAGCGATGGGACAAGGGGTGATGGGTTCCAACAGAACCAGGGATGCTCAGGTTGGAGAGAAGGAAGTGGTGGGAGACTGGGATGGGTTGGGTGGAGAAGGTTGGGATGCTCCATCCCCAGCCAGAGCAACCTCCAATAGACCTGGATGAGCTTTACCCTCCCTTTTATCCCATTCCATGAATCCATGACAATCCAAGGCCAACGGGGCCGTCGGGCACTCACTTCTGGCTTCCCTCGCGCCCCATCCGCTGATGAAGCACTCAGAGAGCTGGGACACCCTGAGCGTCGAATCGGGCACGCAGGCGAGCTGCACGTGGTACCCGCACTGCACCGGCTGGTCCAGCTCCACCAAGGCGATGTCGAAGCCGTCGGAGACCTTGGTGTAATGCTCATGGACCACGACCTTCCGGATCCAACGTTTCTGGGTCTCCGAATTGGCCCAAACCAGGTCCGTGATTCCGACCATCACGTACCAATCCGTGGTGAAGCTGGGAGGGAGTGGAAGAGCAGGGATTGGAGCCATAGCGCAAGGGGTGATGGGTTCCGACTGGGAATTGCAGCTTGGAGATAAGGGATTCCCTATGAGGGTGCTGGGGCACTGGGATGGGATGGGATGGATGGAGAAGGTTTGGATGCTCCATCCCTGACAGCGCTCAAGGTCAGCTTGGAGCAAGCTGCTCTATGGAAGGCATCTCTGCCCATGGCAAGGGTTTGGAACTGGATGATCACAAGCTCCTTTGCCACCCAACCCATCCCATGATCCATTCCATGCCGTTCCATTCCATCCCCTCCCATTCCATTCCAATCCATTCTATGGAGAAGAGGGGTTGGAAGGAGCCACATTGCTTCTGCTTCCCAAAGGAAAGCACTGCCCCAGCAAGCCTTAGGCTCCAGGGATGTCAAGCTGGAAGCAGCCTTCTCCTGAGCGCTCTTCCCAGTGCATCCAGGATGGGGAAGGAGACGGGATGGGAGCTGCTCCTTGCCTATTCCCTATGGCTGGAATCCCTTCTCCCCCTTACTTTTGCCCGATGACATTTCCCTTTCGTAACTTGGAGTCTGAACCTTCCAGGCTGCACTTTGCAGAGGTTTCCTTCTCTTCCTGCTAGCAAGAAAATCCCCATTATGCTTGAAACCACCATTACAGTAGTTGGTGGCTGCTACTATAGTGTCAATTCAGCAGGTGGAGGGAACATCCCTCAGCAAGGCCATCTAAAAGAGGCTTCTAGAGGATTGGGTGATGCCATCAGTAGAGAGAACTAAGCACCATGAGAGAGCAGTGGGAAAAGGGAATGGTCTGGATTGAGAACGCATTGGGAAGACCCTGAATCAGCGACACCTCCCTGCAGGAGGTTCCTGCATTCTCCAGGCTCAGGGATGGATCCTGCATCCTCCAGGCTCAGGGATGGATCCTGCATCCTCCAGGCTCAGGGATGGATCCTGCATCCTCCAGGCTCAGGGATGGATCCTGCATCCTCCAGGCTCAGGGATGGATCCTGCATCTCCAGGGTCAGGGATGGATCCTGCATCCTCCAGGCTCAGGGATGGATCCTGCATCCTCCAGGCTCAGGGATGGATCCTGCATTCTCCAGGCTCAGGGATGGATCCTGCATCCTCCAGGCTCAGGGATGGATCCTGCATCCTCCAGGCTCAGGGATGGATCCTGCATCCTCCAGGCTCAAGGATGGATCCTGCATCCTCCAGGCTCAGGGATGGATCCTGCATCCTCCAGGCTCAGGGATGGATCCTGCATCCTCCAGGCTCAGGGATGGATCCTGCATTCTCCAGGCTCAGGGATGGATCCTGCATTCCAGGCAAGTTTGGGGAGTGCAGGAGCGGGAGACAGGAAGGTCGGCTCGTGGGGCAGGATGAGCAGTGTTCAGGCAACCCCAGCAGTGGGCATTCCCCTTGTGCCACGCTGAGGCATGTTCCCATGAGGGAAACTCCTCAGGTAGCCTCTGGTTTGTCCAGGGCCTGCAGCCACGCTCCAGGAGCACCTACTGCTGCTCCACCTACAGACACCGACTGCTCTCCATTGCTGGGCTCCGTCCTGCCTGTAAGGATCTGTTAAAGCCCTGAACCACCCCCTTGCTTCTTGCTGACTCCCCTCCACCCTCTCTCCCCTCCCTACACACTGCTCATTGCCACCGGTAACTAACTGAAGAGTTAAGAAGCTCTCAAGGCTTTCCTCAGGGGTGACCACGTTTCTCCATTCACCATTGATGGACCCACTGAGTGCCAGCTGTGGGGTTCCTGCAGAGGCAGAGATGCCCCTGGGCAGAGCCCTGCTGCCGGGAGGGGTGTGCAGGGCAGAGCTGAGCACACAGCCCATGGGATGGGCTCTGGGAGCACTGAGAGGGGGCAGAGCTGGGCACAGAGCAGCAGCTCCTGGCAGGGACAGCTCCAGGCAGCAGAGCCATGGGCAAGTGCAGCCCCGCGCTGGGGAGGGTGCGTTCAGGCAGCTCTCTTGGGGTCTGGCACTGGAGGTGGCTGCTGGCCCTGCTCTGCTGGGCACAGTCCTTTGCTTCTCCCCATCAGAGCTCCATTATCTGCTCTTTGAAACCGTGCTCCCCCTCTTTCAGCACAGGACGGGTGTTTGTGGGGGTTCTTAAGATCATTTTGTGTGTGAAGGCATCTTACAGGCAGTGGAGGTTGGAGCACAGTGCAAATGGAAAATAACTGATGGACGCTGCAGCTCTCCAGGCTCCTCACTAAGCTTCAAATATCTGAGAACTTCTTCCTCTTTCAATACTCTTCTGATTTTTTGGTCATACAAAGAAAGATTTATACCCCTAAAAAAAAAACCCCAATAACCTCCTTAGTGTTATAGCAGTAAATAAATAACACAGTAAAAATTACTCCAAGGCCATGCTGAGCCTCTCTTGTGCAGCCCACACTCATCTGAGGCATGAGTACACGTAGCAAACTTTACAGTAAAGTTGGATTTAATCTGACATCCCTTGTTAACACCAGGGCTGGACAAAGCACTGCTTCAGAGATAAGTTGACTCCCATCCAACCTGGCCTTGAACCCTGCCAGGGATGGGGGCAGCCGCAGCTTTGTTGGGCACCCTCTCCCACCACCCCAAAGGGAACAACTTCCTCCAAATGCCCAAATTAAATCTCCCTTTTTATAGATTAAAGATATTCCCCCTTTCCTGTCACTGCGCACCCTTGCAGAAAGCCCCTCTCCAGATTTCTTTTAGGCCCTGCTTAGATACAGGTAGATTCTCAGATGTCTCCCTGGAACCTTCTCTTCTCCAGGCTGAACACCCATATCTGTCAGCGTGTCTCAATTGGAGACATGCTCCAGCCTTTAAAGCTTCTTTGTGGCCCTTCATAAGCCCATCACAGTAGGATCGTAAGAGAACAGAAGTTGGATGGCACCCCAGGAGGTCTCCAGTCCAACCCATCAGGAAGGGTGGCAGAGCAGGGAGGTCAAGGCTTGATTCAGTCCGAGTTGGAAAACCTCAAAGCCAGAGGCTGCACAGCCTCTGTGGGTGACCTGATGCAGCACTCGCCTGAGCCCATGGGAACAAGGTTTCCTCCTGTCCTGACTGAACCTCTCCTCTGTCACGATCCCCACTGCCTTTTGTCCTCCCACCAGGCACCATGGGGAGGAGCCTGGCTCTGTATTCTCCATGTCCTCTTTGACAGTACAGGCAGCCAGTCCCAGACACCTTTCCCTTCCCAAGATTTCAGGTCCCCATCTGAAGCCTGGATGGAGTATCCCAGAGCATCCCTTCCCTTGTTCTCCTGCCGTGCTCCTCCTCATACAGCCCACGATGCTGCTGTCCTCCCTTGCTCCTTTGCATTCAAGTGGTTTATACAGTATTGAACTGAATTCATGTGTACAGAAACGGCAAACACAAAGGAAACACAAGTGTTGTAAGCACAGGGCAAACGGGGAAAGAACTGATGGACGCTGCAGCTCTCCTGGCTCTGCACTAAGCTGCAAAAACCTGAGAACTCCCTCTTTCAATACTCTTCTGATTTTTGGTCATGCTAACAAGGATTTATACCCCCCAAAAAATCCTTAGGAGTGTTATAGGAGTAAATAAATAACGCGGTAAAAATGACTCTAAGGCCATGGTGAGCCTCTCTTGTGTAACCCAGACTAATCTGAGTCATGCATACACGTAGAGAACTTTACAGTAAGGTTGGATTTCATCTGACATCCCTTGTGAACATCAGATCAGGACAAATCACTGCTTCAGAGGTAAGTTGACTCCCTTCCAACCTGGCCTTGAGCACTGCCAGGGATGGGGCAGCCGCAGCTTCTCTGGGCACCCTGTGCCAGTGCCTCACCACACTAACAAGGAAGAAGTTACTCCAAATTCCCAAGCTAAATCTCCCTTTTTTCAGCTTCAAGCCATTCCCCCTTGTCCTGTCACTGCACAGCCTTGCAGAAAGCCCCTCTCCAGAGTTCTTGTAGGCCCTGGTTAGCTATGGGAAAATGCTAAGTTGTCTCCCTGGAGCCTTCTGCAGGCTGAACTGCCCCAGCTGTCTCAGCCTGTCCTCATCATAGATGTGTTCCAGCCCCCAGAGCATCTTTTAACCCTTCGTAAGCCATTCCTTGTACGATCATAAGTGAACAGAGGTTGGAAGGGATCCCAGGAGGTCTCAAGTCCAACCCATCAGGGTCAGAGCAAGTGGTTCTAGGCTTGATTCAGCCTAAGTTGGAAATCCCCAAAGAGAGACTGCACAGCCTCTCTGGGTGACCTGATGCAGCACTTGCCTGAGGCCATGGGAACAAGGTTTCCTCCTGTCCTGGCTGAACCTCTCCTCTGTCGCTATCCCCCGTTGCCATCAGTCCTCCCACCAGGCACCATAGTGAGGAGCCTGTCTTCTCCACGTGCTTCTTGCCAGTCCCAGACAGCCTTCTCTTCCAAAGATCTCAGGTCCCCATCAGCCTTCCCTTCCTTGGGCTGGACAAGATCAGCTCCTCCAGCCTCTGCCACAGGCACCCTGCTCCAGTCCCTGCCTGTCCTGAGGGCCCGTTGCCAAGCCCACTCCTGCTTGCCAGTAGCGTTCCTGAACTGGGGATCTGAAGCCTGGATGCAGCATTCCAGAGCATCCCTTATCTTGTTGTCCTGCCGTGCTCCTGCTCATACAGCCCACAGTGCTGCTCTCCTCCCTTGCTGCCAGGGCACACGCTGCCTCCTGTCCAGCCCCTGCCCACCCAGACCTTTCCCATGGGCTGCTCCCAGCCAGGCAGCCCCAGCCTGGGCCATTGCAGGGCAGTTCCCTGCGGGGGCAGAAACTGGCATTTGTCCTTCTGGGATTTCCTGCCTCTCCTGCTCCTGGAGACCCTTCCCTGGCCTTGGAGAATGTTCCAGTAGAACCTCAACTAAAGAAGGCACCCAGTTCCTCAGTACCAGCATCAGCGTCTTCTGTTCTTAAACCCCCTGCCCATTTCGCAGCAACCTTGCATTTCCTTCTTCAGCCTTGGTCTCTAACACAGCAATGGGAGCTTTTCTCCTTTCTCTTGACTCTTCTTGCAGCCCCCAGCTCCAGGTGAGCTCTG